AATTTATTATTTTTATCGATATTCTCTCCATTCCCAATGATACATTTATTGGTATTAGTTGATGTGTTTGGTACGGTATTGGTATACATTTACGTGTGTACATATATAAAAAATTTTGATATAGTCTATGGTATAGAAAATTAGTAATATTTATTGATATTATCTTTATTTCTAACCGTATATATTTATTGATTTTTTAGTATGGTGATGGTATACATCCAGATGCATCAAAATTTTCAGTATAAGTTTTTATTTTATCAAAAAATTTCCATCCACTCTAACCGTATAAATTTATTATTTTTATCGATATCCTCTCCATTCTCAACGGTATATTTATTTGTATTAGTTGATATGTTTGTTACGGTATTGGTATACATTTATGTGTGTACGTATATAAAAAAATTTCGATATAGTCTATGGTATAGAAATTTAGTAATATTTATCGATATTATGTTTATTTCTAACCGTATTTATTTATTGATTTTTCAGTATTGTGATGGTATACATCCAGATACATCAAAATTTTTACTATAATTTTTTATTTTATCAAAAAATTTCCACTCTAACCCTATAAATTTATTTTATAAAAAGAATTTCACTTTAACTGTATAAATTTATTATTTTTATCGATATTCTTTCCATTCTCAACGGTACATTTATTGGTATTAGTTGATAGGTTCGTTACGGTATTGGTATACATTTATGTGTAACATATATCAAAAATTTCGAAATAGTCTAAGGTATAGAAAGTAAGCAATATTTATCGATATTATCTTTATTTTTAACCGTATATATTTATTGATTTTTCAGTATGGTAATGGTATGCATCCAGATACAACAAAAATTTTTGTGTAAGTTTTTATTTTATCAAAAAAATTTCATCCACTCTTACCGAATAAATTTATTATTTTTATCGATATCCTCTCCATTCTCAACGGTATATTTATTTGTATTAGTTGATATATTTGGTACGGTATTGGTAAATATTTATGTATGTACATATATAAAAAAATTTCGATAGTCTATGGTATAGAAAATTAGTAATATTTATCAATATTATTTTTATTTCTAACCGAATATATTTATTGATTTTCAGCATGGTGATGGTATACATCTTGATACATCAAAATTTTATTATAATTTTTTATTTTATCAAAAAATTTTCACTTTTAACCGTATAAATTTATTATTTTTATCGATATCCTCTCCATTCTCAACGGTACATGTATTGGTATTAGTTGATATGTTTGGTACGGTATTGGTATACACTTATGTGTGTACATATATAAAAAATTTCGATATAGTCTATGGTAAAGAAAATTAGTAATATTTATCGATATTTTCTTTATTTAGAACCGTGTATATTTATTGATTTTTCAATATGGTGCTGATATACATCTAGATGCATCAAAAATTTTAGTATAAATATTTACTTTATAAAAAAAAAAAAATTCACTCTAACCGTATAAATTTATTATTTTAATTTATATGCTCCCCATTTTCAACGGTACATTTATTGGTATTAGTTGATATGTTCCGTATGTTATTGGTATACATTTATGTGTGTACATATACCGAAAATTTTGATATAGTCTATGGTATTGAAAGTTAATAATATTTTTCGATATTATCTTTATTTCTAACCGTATATGTTTATTGATTTTTCACCCTAGTATACATCCACATACATTAAAATTTTTAATATAATTTTTTATTTTTTATCAAAATATGTCCACTCTAACCTTATACATTTAGTAACACTTTTTTATATATTTGGTATGATGTTGGTAAACATTTATAAATATAAAAAAAAAAAATTGTATAATATATAATACAATACAAAACTCAAATGGTTGTATGCCGAGAAGAGAAAAATATATATATATATATATATAAATATATACAAAGAAATTGAGAGTGGAACATCGTAAAGGTGGAGACAGACTACAATAAAAATTTGGTTATATTTGTAGTAATATTTAAGTTCATTAATATTAGTTTTAATTCCGTCATGTCTTTTTAGAAAAAAATTTGTTCGAATTTCTTAAAATGATACTATTGACAAATAGTACAAAAAATTATCTTGACATGGCAAAATGCAAATACTTCCAAACATATTTACCCGGGAAAATTGCAAAAAATATTCCACACGTATACCTCATTATCATTTTTGTCCTATATTTATCTCTCTGGCAAAATATATCCCACATGTTTCCAAAAGTCGCTATTTCTATCCTTTGACCGCGCGTGATTGCGCGTAAGGGCGCGTGGTGTGAATTTCACGCGCGAGAAAATGATATAAATAACGACTTTTGTAAACATGTGGGATATATTTTGCCAAGGAGATAAATACAGGACAAAAATGATAATAGGGTATAAGTGTGAGATATTTTTTGCAATTTACTTATATTTACCCATTTTGCCGTTTTTTCAATTTTCATCCTATGTTGAAATCAAGTATGAGTAATATAAATTCCAAGGCAGCCTATATATATATATATACACACATATTTCCATTATTTGTATATATATATATAGATAGATATAACGAAAATTGTAAAAATGTGTTGTTAGAGTAATTTAAAATTAACCATAATCATATTTGTTATACAAACTACAAATCCTTTCCACGCTTCAAGTCAAATATTTGGTTAGTTTTATGGTTTTATTAGTCCAATTATGTATTAATTTACCATTGAGTTTTTGGTTTTAGTAGTCGGATTTTGTATTAATTTTACTATTGAGTTTTTGGCCTATGATTGTTTTATAGGTCAGATCTAAAAATTTTATCGCACGGTTTAATAACGCTATTCTGACCAGCAACCCAGCTCATCTAACAACGTTACAATGAATTTCTTACAACCTTTGTAGACGTCAGCGGCAACCGTTACCCACTGGCCGGCGGCATGACGACAACTGCCACCTCTGACACTGAGCGACGCTGCAGCGAAAGCGATATTATTATTATTATTATTATTATTATTATTTAACCCAGATAATTCATTTAAGGCATCGTTTGAAGGTTTAAAACGGAATATATTTATTTGATATGTTGTGATTCAATTTTGAGTGTCGATCGATATTCGTGATTTTATCGTGCGTATAATATATATTATTGAAAAGTAATAGTACCAATAATGTAATTGTATTTTTTTTTTTCTATATATAATTTTTAATAAAAATATACTATCCGACCCTACAAAACAAATACGGAGATTAGTAGAAAATGTGATGAAAAACTAAAGAAAGCAAAAAATAAAAATAAAATCCAACGATCATTATAAAGAAATCTAGAATCAACGGCTGATATTAATCTCAGGTGATTGTTGGGTTTCCGGTAGGGCCAATGCTATTGGGCCCGCCTTTAATACAATTGTGGTCCAAAAATTAAATAGTAATGTTCAATAAAAATTTAATCAAGTAAAATTGCGAGAGATATTTTTTAACATTTTAAGACAAAATAGTTTACTATTATGTGTTTCAATTTAATTATAAATTTTGATCGATATCAGTGTTTTTATCGTGCGTGAATATATATTATTACTATATTTTATTTTATTTTCATTTTTACTTTTGACAACTATAATTAAAAATAATCAGACAAATTATATTATTAGTTACATGTGTGTATATATAATTGTGTGCACAAGAAGTGATGCCCAAATAGTAAGTAATGTTAAAATACACTAATGTTCAAGTATTTTATATTGTGACCAATTGATATATATTGGTTCTAGAAAGACATGTACAATTTATCTAAAATATAATTCTAAAAACTAAATAAATAAATAAAACTCGTGCGAATATTAGTATTTATTTATCAGATATTGAAATGATGTAATAAAAATAATTATACGTCTTTTAGAAAGTAATAGACATAAATGCGCAGATTTTTAATAATTGTAATAATTATTATGGAAACTGGATTTTCTGTAGCCGACTTACTATAAATTTTTTAAATATTTTTTTAAGTAATATATTTTTTCAAAATTTAAAAATATTACAATATTTCAAAAATATCGTCAAAATGTCATAAGAAATACGATGATTTTGAGCGTTACAAAACTTTTTAAAAATATTTCTATTTTTAACAAAGTAACGTAGACGGTCGTATCCCGTTCACATACAAAGCTACATTGGATCAAAATTGAGAGAAAAAAGTGAAATAAATGTTAACAATTTAAAAGAAATATATACAAATAAAATAAATTTAATTAAAGATACACAAAATCGACCAAAAATATTTTTTTCTTTCCACAAAATTAAAAGACCATATATAAAAATTCACTGACTTTATTCCGATTATAGTTAGAGACTTTTAATTAGTAAATGTGGATAATATAATTTAAAGAAAAATGTAAGGTATGTTTGTTTTGATTGTTTTTTTTTTTTTTTTGTATTATTTTTTTTATTATTATTAAATTGGTTCTCAATAAAAATATATTTATTTGTCTTATTTTTTCTTTTCTACTCATAAAATAAATATTACAGTATATTTAAATAAAAATTTAAATAACATTATAAAAAAAAATAATAAATACAAATTTCACTTTAATTTCAAACACCAACCAAATAATTTCAAACAACAACCAAATAAAGACTAATTATTCCTTCTTGGATTACTTGTATCCCCAAAAATTTATTGTATAATAAAATTAAATTTAAAAGAAAATATGATGCAATAAATAGTCCCACTCAACAATTCAATATGGGATTCTAGGGGTAAAATAGTCATTTTCACATGTACGAATACCTTTTGCCGCGCCTCTCTTTCTTCAGTGTCTTCTTGTCGAAGTTTCCCAATAGGAGCAACATTCCCGACGGTTCATTTCCCTGCGGTGCTTACGGTTCCCACCAATATTGTTGTTTAATTACAATTTTACCCAAGAGTATCTCAGCATAACCTATAGTGTAACTGTACGAACCGTACCGGGTGCACTGTACTGCACCCTCAGCCCTGTAACTCCTATAAAAAGAGGCGTCCTCCCCACTCATTTCTTACTCACCTCTGAAGTTTTCTGCTCTGTCAAAAATGTCGGGAAGGGGAAGAACCGGTCGCGGTGGTGGCAGGGGCCAACAACAGGGGGGAAGGGGGCTACAGCCTGGCGGTGGTGGTGGCGGCGCTGGTCGTGGACGGGGAGGGGGCGGTTATCCGCCGTCTTCGTTGTCCTCGTCTGCTCCGCCGTTTCAGCCGCCCGCGGCGGTAGCGCCGGTCGCGTCGCTGGCTAGGGAAATGGAGCAGAAGATGACGCTGCAGGCGTCGTCTTCTACTGCTCCTGTTCCTGCTCCGGCTCCACGTCCGGCGCCGGCGACGGTTCCGGCGGTTGTGATGCCGCCGGCAGGCGGAGAACGGTTGCCGCCGGCGTCGACGAAGGCGGTGAGGAATGCGCCGAGGCCAGGGTATGGTACTGTGGGTACGAAGGTGGTTGTAAGGGCGAATCATTTCCTGACTACCGTCGCTGACCGTGACTTGTGTCACTACGATGTGAGTTCTCTGATCTGTTGGGTTTGATGTATTTTTTTCCGATTGTGGACTGGTTTTTGTATTGCCTATGTTTCTCAGATCCTTTGCCTGACTGTTGGTACTGCGATGATGTTGTTCTTATGTGACGATTGTGTAGCTTGCTGCGATTGTGTGTTGGATTTGGACTTTGTTTTGACGTTCTGTGCTTAAGTTTATCCGCTAAGACGGATCTCTGTTGAACGTGATATTATCAACACGTAGATACTGATTTTTTTATTTTTTTTACGCAAAGATCCATGATTAAAATCTGTGTTTTCGTCGTATGGATTTGTCTCCTCAGATTTAAGCATTCGCTTCTTTTTCCTGAGCGTGTATCTCAGATCCTATATTGATTTTGATGATCTGTGTGGTGGAAGACATGTAGATCTTGCATTGTGAATGTTCTTCATTTATATGTGCTATTGTGCGTGTGTTTTAAGCGTGAACTTTGTTTAGCCTTTAGAAATACGACGTTTAATTGTTGATTCTTGTCTTTCAGGTTACTATCACTCCTGAGGTTACATCGAAGAAAGTGTGTAGGCTCGTTGTGAAGCAGCTCGTCACATCTTATGGCGATTCGAATCTGGGTGGGAAGACGTTAGCTTATGATGGAAGAAAAAGTTGCTATGCTGCAGGGGAATTGCCGTTTGCTTCGAAGGATTTTGAAGTGGAGCTTGTTAGCGATGATGGTGGAGCGAGGTGATTAACTATGCTGTAGATCTGTTAAATTTCTTCACTTGTTGAACATCGATGTTGTCGGCATCGGCTATCTGCGCTTTAGTGGTTGTATATTTACTTTGATTGAATTATTTATGCTTGACTGCGCAGGAGGGACCGCAAATTTAAGGTTTCGATTAAATTTGCTGCGAAAGCAGATCTGCACCATCTCAAGGAATTCATAAGGTGTAGGCAGGTGGATCTTCCCCAGGAAACTCTGCAGTGTCTGGATGTGGTTCTAAGGGAGGGGCCATCTAACAGGTGACGAAATTGTTTTTAATTTACGCCGATGTATCGACATTTTACACATCTATAACGAGTCCTTTTGTTGCAGTTATCAAGTTGTTGGGAGATCGTTCTTTGATTCTACGTTGGGCGAGACAGGGGACCTTGGAAATGGTTTGGAATACTGGAAAGGTTATTATCAGAGTCTTCGCCCAACTCAGATGGGCTTGTCTCTGAATATCGGTATAGTTCACTGATTATCCATAAATTTTATATCTGTTTGAGGGTTCGGCATTCTATTGAAACTTATGTCAATTTTAATGGTGTTGCAGATATGTCGGCAAGGGCATTCTTTGAGCCTATAAATGTTGTTGAGTTCATCTCTAAGTACCTCAACAGAGATGTTTCGAGGGGTTTACATGATCAAGATCGTGTTAAGGTATGATTGTAAACACATTGTTTGTTTATTGCTTCGTATTGGTTTCGTTAATCATTGATGGGAAGAACTGCCCCTTTGTTTTCTTAGGTGAGGAAGGTGTTAAGAGGCCTTAAGGTTGAAAGCAACCACTTGGGTCACATTAAACGGTACAAGGTCTCGGGTTTGTCTACTCAGGTGATCGGAGATTTGAAGTGAGTGCTAATTTGCTTTTCATAGTTTAAATTCACATGGTCGCTATTCCGCCATTTTGGCTTGACTAACCTTTTATTTGTGTTCTTGCCGTATCAGGTTTTCCTTGGACGAGACTGGAGGACAGATAACGGTTGTTAAGTACTTCGAGACTAAGTATGGTATTCGACTTAGGTGGACAAACTTGCCTGCCATTCAGGTCGGCAGTGATTCAAAACCTGTTTCTATTCCAATGGAGGTATCATGCAATTTTTTCTTAGATGTTATTGTATTCGTAGTTCACTTGGTAATTGTCATTTTTCCTGAAAACTTTGTCACCTGAATTGTTGATGCACAGATTTGCAAAATTGTCGGGGGCCAGCGATACTCGAAAAAGCTGAATGAGAGGCAAGTGTCTGCCTTGCTGAAAGCTACTTGCAAGAGGCCAAACGAGAGACAGAAAACCATCGAAGAGGCAAGGATTTATGAAACTGATTACTATTTCCTTGAAAATTTTCCTAACTTCTTTTACCATGCTTTTATGTTTGATATGCAGATGGTGAGGAAGAACAATTATGCTGCCGACAGGCTTGCACAGCAATTTGGTATTCAAGTCAAAACCGAGCTCGCCACAATAGAGGCTCGGGTTTTGCCGCCCCCAATGGTAAAGTTTTTGCCTAATATTCATTTAGATATTTCTTTGCTCATCACCTCACCTGGATCATGTATTTGCAGCTTAAATACCATGAATCTGGAAAGCAAGCACTGGTCGAGCCTAGTGTAGGTCAATGGAACATGATTGACAAGGTATTTTTTTTTTCCTTCGAATCCATTCTTGTATTGACAGCATTTACATTGTGAGACATACTTATAATCCCCTTTGCTCTGCAGAAAATGGTTAATGGAGCTAGAGTTGATTTCTGGGCGTGTATTTCATTTACTCGGTCAAATTTGGATGTGAACCGTTTCTGCCATGAGCTGATCAACATGTGCTGCAGTAAGGGGATGGTATGAGGTTTTTGTTCGTCAAATCGATTAATTTTTCCTCTTTGATAATTTTAATTCAATGACTGTATTGTGTTTGTTTGTTTTCAGGTTTTCAATCCGAATCCTCTAGTCCGTACGCGATCAGCTGATGCAGGAAAGATCGAGACAGCCCTGAGCACCATTCAACGTGAATCAGAGGATCAGCTGAAAAAGATGAATGCGGCTGGAAGATTCCTTCAGCTGCTCATCATTATCTTGCCCGACTATTCTGGCTCCTATGGTGAGTTAAATGATATTTCTTCATACCAAATTATTGCTATTGTGATAGCTATGTTAGCAAAGGAATGTATAGTTAAATGGCTAATAAATTTCTCGTTTCTTTACAGGGAAGATTAAACGCATCTGTGAAACGGATCTTGGGATTGTATCTCAATGTTGCCAGCCAAAGCAGGCAATGAAATACAATAAGCAATATATGGAGAATGTTTCCCTGAAGATAAATGTCAAGGTTTGTCGAACATTAAACAAATTTTTCTCGACATTTCTTTAGTACCCCAAGTGTTCTTATTTTTTGGTTTTTACTAGGTCGGAGGGCGCAATACTGTTCTTCAAAAGCCTATGCCAATTCTCTATGATCGCCCCACCATTGTATTTGGAGCTGATGTTACTCATCCACAACCGGGAGAGGATTCCAGTCCTTCCATTGCTGCTGTAAGCGATTGCGCGAAACTTTCATTAATTAAAAATAAACAAATGTGCGATTCTTAACTCGTCTGCTTCCATTTTCAGGTGGTAGCCTCAGTCGACTGGCCCGAAATTACTAAATTTCGAGGGCTGGTTTCTGCGCAAACCCACCGGGAAGAAATTATACAAGATCTGTATAGCGATGGACTCGATCAAACAAAAGGCGTGGCTCGGGGCGGATTAATTGGGTTCATTTCCTACTCTTTTTATCTCATTATTCCGCAATTTGATTACATTTTTCGTCGTTCTCATTCTGTTTTCTTTGCAGTGAACATCTGAAAGCCTTCTACCGTTCAACAAAGCGTAAGCCCGACAGGATTATATTTTACAGGTGAGTTCACACTTTCACATGGTTCATTTTTCAATTTTCTCTGTCGTTTTCCTCAGCTGCAGTTGCGCGTCATTATCAACTTTAAAATGCTTCAGGGACGGCGTCAGCGAGGGGCAGTTCAGTCAGGTGCTGTTATATGAAATTGACGCTATTCGCAAGGTATAAATGTCCAGTCATCGCAACCACTTTTTGTCCGATTGTTATCGAAATGAGCGTTTTCATGACTCCCGATGAAACGGCTTTTTGTCAGGCTTGTGCGTCCCTAGAAGAAAACTACCTTCCGCGTGTAACTTTCGTTGTGGTTCAAAAGCGACACCACACTCGTCTTTTCCCCGCGCGACATTTTGATCGCCAGACTACTGACCGGAGCGGCAACATTCTGCCGGGTTTTTTTTTTTCCGAAACTTTGCTATTGTCTTTCAAATTTTCGCCTAATCAATTTTAAATGATATCTTAACTAACGCTTCGTCACCAGGTACTGTTGTCGACACCAAAATATGCCACCCGTTCGAATTCGACTTCTACTTATGCAGCCATGCTGGGATCCAGGTAAGCTTTTCTTACAACCTCAATACTTTCAACAATGTGCGCACAATCGACTCATGTTCGGCTGCTTTTTCTCAGGGAACTAGCCGCCCGACTCACTACCATATCCTCTACGATGAAAATGGCTTTAGCGCCGATACTATGCAAATTCTGACAAACAACATGTGCTACACGTAAGCGTCGTTATCTTTTACATTATGTCCATGCTCGACTTTAATTAATTTCAATGACTAATTTAATTTTAACTTTTCTAAATTCTCTTCAGATACGCGAGGGCCACGCGCTCGGTCTCTGTGGGTAAGTTGCGCTCCGAGCATTTGATCATCTCTTATTTTCATTTCTTACGACATTTAAATAAATTTCCTTACAATGTCGCGTGATTTTTGTAACAGTCCCGCCTGCTTACTACGCGCATCTGGCTGCATTCCGCGCTCGTTACTATATTGAAGGCGATGAATTTTCTGACAGCGAATCGAATTCTGCGATGGCGCCGGGGAGGGCGACCAGAGACAGGAACGCGGCCGTTCGACCCCTGCCGAAGATCAAAGACAATGTGAAGGAAGTTATGTTTTACTGCTGAGTATGTTTAGTCGATAAGTGTTTTGAGAAAGACTGAAGAAGTGTCTGAGAAAGACGCATACATCGAGTAGTTTTGTTTTTGAGTTTGAACTATTCTGTCGCGTATGGTAGCGACTAGAAACTTATATATATTTATGTGATGTTGTTTTTGAATATGTTTGAAGTTTATTTTGGTATATGTTTTTAGTACATAGATGATTGGCATTAGGAGCAATGTTTAATCAGCTGGTGTTGAATTTATGTTTCAATATTTGTAAAATAGAATATAATTCAATATATTTAGTTTATATTACATATTCACATAAATAAATAAATATATACTTCTTTTTTTTATTACATTATAAAGTTATTTTACTTAATACTATCCGCATAATTTAAGTATTATGTGGTATTTGGAATGAAGAAGAGAGTATTTGATTAATCAAAGTGTTACATTTAAATTTTTTATTTTTTCATAAAATTTTGCATCTAATAATCAAATATTTACATTTAAAATTTTTATATTCTAAATTTGATTTCAATAGTGATGTTTCACTAACAACAAATTTTCAGTATAGTTGTTAATTTTACTTTGGTGTCGGAAATAACAACACTCTCGATAGAGTCAGAATAACGGGATTATCGATGGAGTAAAAATAACAAGACTCAAGACTCTCAATGCAGTCAAAAACATGACTCTAAAGATACGTGGCCAACAAAACGTAGACAGATACGTGAACATGATTTCAATCATAGACAAAATCAGAACTCAAAACAAAATTAAAATCAGAAACTAAAAAGACTAAAACTATACTGAAAATCTCAAAATTGAAAGATCTCTGCTGACACCATAAAACAAAAACAAAAACAAAATAATCTCAAATTTGGGAGACATCCATGTACATTCCAGATTGAAAGAAATCCAGTAAGCTATATCTACTTCATGAAAAAAATAACTCTGATGCATGTGAGAAATAAATTATAAAGACTCAAAAATTCTATTATTATTCATAACAAAAATAGAGGCTTCTAAATAGGTCTAATATACAAACTCGATAGACTTAAACTTAATGGATAAAATCAAAATATAAAGCAATTAAATCCAATCTAAAACTAAATAATTAGAATATCTCAACACTCAAACTCCATTGGTTTGGCAAAACCAATTGAGTTTGCAAAGAGAGATCGAAGATAATACAGCCACAATCGTCCACCGTGGAATCACGAACAGTGTTGTCAACTGAATTATAGTTTGAAACAACGTGATTTCGACAGATTCGGAAACAACCAGACTTTCGATGGAGTCGGAAATAATAGGACTTTCGATGGAGTCGGAAATAACGGAACTTCTAATTTGGTATAGGGTAACTGAACCCATTCTGGAATATAAATACATTGGTATATGTATATTGTATCATATATTATACTTTTTATATTATCTAAATTTATATTTACTTTTGTTTTTATAGTAATAAAAAATTGTTTTTGTTTTCATATTTAGTAGAAAAATACCATTTTTACTATAAATTTATTTTTTTATTTTTATCGTAAAATTCATGCCCAATCAAATGGGCATAAGTTTAGATGAGAAAAATAATACTAATTTTTTTTATTATATATAATTCATTGTATATCTACACCAAATACTAATTTTTTGATGAGAAAAATAATACTTCCTCCATCCCAGATGACCCATTTGGTTAGGAATATTGTATTTTAAGTAGTGTAAATTAGTAAATTATTAATAATAAATTATGATATTATTTTATTATTTTTTATATAAGTAGTGTTATTGGTATTTTGAATACTTTAAATATTATATCTCAATAAAATATATATATAATGGATATCAGAGAATAAAATTTTATATAATACAAATAAATAAAAAATATATTTATTTATCGTTACTATAAATTAGTTTTATAAAAAAATGAGGAGTTTTAAAAGTATATAAAAATATTTATTAATTGAGAAGAGAGATTAAAAAAAAAATTGTGTGGGTCCTATGTGTAAGAGATTAAATATAGAATTAATAAATTTATAAAAAAAATAGAAAGGTGTATCTTTTGTGGCACGGACGGAAAAAAAATGATCATCTGTGACGGGACGGAGGAAATACTAATTTTTTTATTATTATACTCATGCTATGTATGTCCACACGGCAGATGGTGATTGATTGGTACACTAGGGACAAAATTCATCGGAGTAGGGTAACTGAACCCATTGCAGAATTCACTCCTATTAGTATATATTTATTGATAATTGTCTTACCTTTCTAACCGTAAATATTCATTGAAAATAATTATCAGCTTCTTCGTTCTTATCGGCATTGATAATATATATCGATAGGTTCTCTGTTTCTAACCTTCTATGGTTATTGATATTTATCGATGTACTATTGTTGCTTTTTCGATATTTTCCATTCTAACAGTACACATTTATTGATAATTTTCATTATTTTTCACCTTTTTCATTTATTAATATAGTTGTCAATATATTCGAATCATTGTTGGTAAAATTTATTTATATATATATATATATATAAAAAAAAAAATAGTATAATATATACTAGAATACATATCTATGTATAAAGTAGTAATAGTACTAGTACTAATAATAATAATAATAATAATAATAATAATTGATACTCCCTGTCCACTTAATTAGTTTACAGGGAAAAAATTATTTTTGGTCCAAATATAACCAGAATTCATCATTTTTGTCCAAATATAAAAATTTTATCAATTTTGAACACAATATAACCAAAACCCTTCACAAACAGCCTTGTAAGTTGATTCAAGGAGTTGGCATTGGTAACATTTATCTATAAGGATTATCATCTAATTATGGAAGACTAATTTTCATCCAATGGACATCGGCGTATGCTTTTTGAAATAAAGCAAAATTGTTCATAACTTCAACGTATACCCCCATGTATTTTAAAATTGCATAGCGTCTCTTCAAAAATATTGAATGAAACTTCCGCCATGCAATTTTTAAGGTACATGAGGAATTTACACTAAATTTTGAAACCATAGGAGATTATGAACAATTTTGCCTTAAAATAATAAACCATGAATAGTAAGATACCATACTATATACTAACTCATAAAAACCATCAATTTTATAAGTATTAATAGGTGGACTTATGACCGCAAAACTAAGGGGTCAAAACCCCTCGTCGATGTCTTTTTGTTCGAGACTGGCACGCAGATAATTAAAACAAGAAACAAATCTCATAAAAGAAATTAAATCGAAACATAATATTACCTTTCACTTGGCTTAATCCAAATCAATAATTTAAGATATAACATTCACTCGTAGTTGATCGTCGCAATTTCAGCTAGAGAAAGTTCATCGTATTTATGAGCAACAAGAATCAAAGATTTAACATAAACCTTATCAAAAATATTTGAAGAGCTCTTTACACTATCAAATATCAATTTTACCTTAATCCAAACATTGATTACACTAAGCATTCTAATAACCTGGATCAAATATAAATATGCAATTGACTAATGTTATAGTCTATAGAAATTTCACAATAAAAAAAAAATAGGGATGATCATGGGCCGGGTCTTGGTTTATATCATATTCCCGAACGATATTTTTAACGAATTAATACTTTATAAATAGTATTTAAACTCAAAATCCTAAATCTTTCATCCCATCTACCTACCCCTCACCCTCCATTCTTCTCAACTTTTTATTAAGTGGGTGCAAAATTTAATAAACTATTATTACAATATAAAAATAATAATTAATTGTCCCTTGCATATTTTTATACATCGAAAAATGTTTAATTACATTATTGTTTGTAAGACTTCTAATAGAGTAACATAAAAATGAAGAGATTAGAATTTCGATAGGAAGAAAACTGGAGTAATATATTATATGGTTAGTTAAGTTTTTAGTATTTTTTTTTAAAAAAATAAATAGGATCGTCCTTTAAAAATTTATAAAAAAGAAAATCGTAAATATGATTTTTTATTTGAGTATTTGAATTACAAGTAAATTAAATAATTAATATATATCCATAAAATTCAAGTGGAGTCCTGTGACCCCATGGGCACTTTGTGTATACTAATCAGCCACTCCGCAGCCGCCTATCTTCCGCCGCCGCTGCTGACGTCTCCATCGCTGCCGATATTGTGGCGGACTGAAGCACTTTTTTTTTTTTTTGGATCTACGGGCCTTTGTCGGGTTTTCATCGGGTATGGTCCAGGTAGAGTCCGTCCAACATAATTCAGATTTGAGTATTCAAAAAATATTTGAGTCGGGTCTAGGGTCTTGTGAGACCAGATTCAACCAACCCATTGACATCCTTATTCCTAAGAGACCGCAAGCTCGGAGAATCGAGAGCTGGAGGCAGACGATCCAGAGGGCTGCAATTAGCATTCCAATGGAGGAAACGATAAGATTGTTTGAATTGAGTTGGCAGGTGCAAGCACAAGCCCGGAATTCTGATCGGTCTCCTCCTCCTCGTCCTCTTGTCATCATCAAAGTCGTAGGTGGCTTTCATCGCTGCTTCTCGGCAGGTAGATTTCCGACTTTGTAACCATGGATGTGACGGAGGTGTACACAAGACACAAGACATGTTGATGGATGACCTGACCCGGCCCGACGTGTTTGGCTACTTTGGTCATTTGAGCTGACGGCTTATTGGCGACTACACACTCAATTCTTTTCACAACCCATAACAATGTAATGGATTATTGGAATCCACGGAACTTTGAAGTTAAGCGTGTTTGGGCGAAAGTAATACTAAGATAGGTGATCTCCTGGTGTTACGGATTGTTCTTCGAACATCTTCCGTGCAGCCTAGTAACTTCTTAGACACTTAGAGGTTGCTAGTACAGCTTTTACTCTAACTCCTCAAGAACAACTCGAAAACAAATTAAGAAAGCTTGACAAATTCTAGAGAGAGGAAGTAGTGAGAGAAAGATTGTGTTTACTGATTCTAGCTTGTGTATTTACAACTGAATGACTCGCACCTATTTATACAAGTCTGCCTCCCTATGGACGGTCATGATTGATTTGATCTAACGGCTTGAATTGGCCACTAGAATGTTCTAGGCCATCTACAAGCTTCTACAAGATTCTACGAGAATCTATATACAAAATTTAGCTTTATCCGAAGTGTTCTCAAGTCTTCCACATGGTTCTAGACAATTCTATTAAGCCTCCGGGTTTTGGTTTATTTTCTCAGCCAAAAACTCGGTTCGGGACAGTGAGAAGTAGTTGTGCA